TTTCCATACAAAGTCTGCGTGAGAGGTTGTGCAGATATACCTGTATGGATCAGAAAGCGGACCCCTAGCCAAAAGTGGGGTATAGAACTGATGTGTTGGGGCCTGCTTTTAGTAAGTCAGCCCTGGATGGACAGAAAACTATTCAGGGAGGGCCTGGAAGTTAATTGCATTGCAGGTCTATAGTGCTTTCCCTCCCAGGATCAGAAAGAAAAAAGCCACGCATCCTCAATACTCATGAAACTGGTCTTTTAACAGTTGACCTGTGATAGAACTTTTATGTTCTGTTTTGTTCACTATCTTCATCAATGACCTGGAAAGTGGGATGCAGTGCACCCTCAGCAAGTTTGCAGATGAAACCAAGCTGGGGAAAGTAGTAGATACACTGGAGGGCAGGGCTAGGATTCAGAGAGGCCTCGACACATTGGAGGATCTGAGCAACAGCAATCTCAGGAAGTTCAACAAGGACAAGTGCAAAGTCCTGCACTTAGGATGGAACAGTCCCATGCACCGGGACAGGCTGGGGGCTGACTGGCTGGGCAGCAGCTCTGCAGAAAAGGACCTGGGGGGTGGACATTGGGCAATAAGCTGAATATGAGCCAGTGGTGTGCCCTTGTTGCAGAGAAGGCTACTGGCATCCTGGGCTGCATTGGTAGGAGCGTTCCCTGCAGATGGAGGGCAATGATTCTTCCCCTCTGTTCAGCACTAGGGAGGCCACATCTGGAGTCCTGTGTCCAGCTGTGGGCCCCCCATTAGACAAATTGGAGAGAGTCCAGTGGAGGGCAACAAAAGTGGTTGTGGGGCTGGAGGACAGGACTGGTGAGGAGAGGCTGAGGGAACTGGGCTTGTTTAGTATGGAGAAGAGAAGACCGAGGGGGGTTTAATAGAAGCCTTCAGCTCCCTAGGGGCAGGGGTGTCCAAAGAGGATGGGGCTGGACTGTTCTCAGTGGGGGCAGATGACAGAACAAGGAGTAATGGGCTCAAGCTGCAGCAAGGGAAGTTTAAGTTGGATGTTAGGAAAAACTTTCTCACGAGGAGGGCGGTGAAGCGCTGGGACAGGTTATCCAGAGAGGTGGTGGAGTCTCCATCCTTGGAGGATTTGAAGACCCAGGTAGACAAAGCCTTGGCTGGGATGATGTAGTTGGGGCTGGTCCTGCTTGGAGCAGGGGGGTGCACTAGATGTGACCTCCTGAGGTTCCTTCAACCCTTATTTTCTGTGATTCTAAGAAGAGCCTCTCGTGTAGCCCCCTGCTCAAGGCAGGGTCATTCCTGCCAAACCGTTTCAACCAAGTGTCTGTCCAACCTGCTCTTGAACATTTCCAGGGATGGAGAGTCTGTGAGGCAGCCTGTTCCAAGGCTTGCCCACCCTCCCAGCCAAAAAGTTCCTCCTACTTTCCAACCTCAGCTTCCTGGATGAATAGTGCTGTCCTGGCCTTGTCCATGATCGTGACATCTGCTCTGTTGTTTCAGTCTGTGATGCCCAACAAACATTTGTCCCATCATCCTTCAACAGTGGCGGTGGTCTGGGCTAGCACCAACAACGATGGCCTGCATCAGCTTTTAATTATGAGCCAGTCATTGTCGTGACTTGCTATTAGCATTGTTTTGCCTTGTAATTGTCTGTGGAGATCATGACTGGGATCAGGTTCCCGTTGGGTGTAAGAGAGATGGTCCCTGCTGGAGGAACAACCCAAAATGAGACAGTCAGAGGATGCACTAGGGCTTCCTGTGGCATTTGCTCAGGCTATAACTCACATTCGCTCCTCACCTGACTTCTGTCCACGCGCTGGGATCCAGCCCAGCGTGAACAGTGGTTTAGCTGCTCCTCCAAGGCCTGTGGGATCAACGTGGAGGAACACAGACTCAAGCCATTAGCAGCGTGGCAGGAACTGGGTGTACAACTACTCTCTGGCTGCCACTACGATTGCTATCATGAGAGCAGTGGTCTCAGCCTTTTTACACTGACAGTTCCCCTCGAGGCACCCTCGGAAAACGCCAGCTCTGCTTTGTCTACGGACAATTCCAGCAGGGATTCTCCTGTTGCAAGGAGCTCAGAAAGGCCGCGACAGGGCAGAGTGTTTGAAGTCTCAGGGTTTATCTTAAGAATTGTGTTTCCTAACACTGCGTAGCATCCTTGAAAGCACCTCAAGGCACCCCAGGGTACCACGGCACCCTGGTTTCACAGCTAATGAACAAGAGACTGGACTAAACGAGCTTGCGAGGTCTCTTCCAGCCCTACTTTCCTACAATCCTGCCCAGCTCAATTATCCAGCTTCCACAGGAGACAAGCCCCAGGAAACCCTTGCCCTCCCAGCCCCAGCCTTCCCTGTTGTCTGGGTTGCAGCCGTGCGGGACACACCACCTTTCTGCCCTGCCGCGGTCAGCACAGCTGCAGAGGGAGGTGGGTGTGAGTCATGAGCCCCGCTTTGTTTCAGCCTAAGAGGCCTCTGGGTCATTCTCTATTTTTCTGACGCCGGCTGAAACCAGAATGTTCTGGATTCGCTGCTCTGGATTTCGGAGCCAGGGGTGGCGCGGGGGAAGCCATCTGCGCGCTTTCAGCTCCTTCTAGCGATCAAAGCCAGCAGCGCAGCTCAGCAGGCTGCTTCTGGCATGGCCGGCTTCCTTCCAGGGAGCGGATTGTTTTGTTCAGATGGTGACGCATCAGGCCCTGAATTTGACCCTGTGTAAACACAGCCAGTCATAACGAGCAAGCGCAGAAACGAGGACCACGGGCCCTGCCCTTTGTGTCGCGGTAGGGCCTAGCAGCTGCGGCCCGTGGTGCCATGCACTTGGGAAGTTTTTGACATCATGTCCTGGGTGCTCTTGAGGACGGGTGGAGCCAAGCATTCCCGCCCCCCCGCTCCCACCGGACCTGGACGCAGGAGCGGGAGAGCTGCTTTGGGGGTCCTCCCACGTGGCAGGAAGGGTGGATTTGCACCTTATTGACTGACCAAAGTAATATATATATAAACACGGGGTCTTCATAAAGTCCTTGTGCACTATTAAACTTTAATAGATTATGCACAAGGACTTTGTGAACCCCCTGAATAGATAGAGAGAGATTGTCTGCCTCAGAGAGATATATGAGATATTGTGTTCCCCCTTGGCACTCTTTTGTTATGAGCCTTTGACCTCCACTCCTGTCCCTGCTTTCATTATTATTTGCCCCAAATAATCAAGGGTCACCTTTCCTGTAGCCTCCTGCCTGAGGGAGGCCAGTAAGTTACTTGGTGGGCCTAGACCCGTGCCCCTTAAGGTGACAAATAGGCATGTATTTGACAATCCCGCAGTGGCCCTTTAACCCACGAATCCCCAAAGTGACAAATAGGCCTGTGTCCAACAGCCCGTCATGGAGAAGCAGGGCTGGAAGGGAGCCCCAGAGGTCACATCTAGTCCAACCCTCTGCCTAAAACAGGGTCAGCCCTGTCCAGACCAGCCCAGACAACCATCATCTACACTCTGCATAAGACTACCCTCAATCTCACACAACACGGACCTAACACCCTAACCTGCCTGAAGGAAAGCAGAGGAATCACGGCAGCCAACATCCTGCTTCTATAAAATGTAGTTAATATATGCTCAAGAGGTCCCAGGAAGACAACCCCCTCACCCTAGTCCATACCAATCTGACTATGGGGTAAAATTCCTTCCTGACCCCAAATATGACGATTGCTCTGACCCTGAGCAGGGGGGCAGGGACCTCCGGCTTTCCTCCCAGCAGGAGAATCGGCACGTCCCAGCTGAAGTCCCCAGCCTTGGCTGTAGCCAGCACCTCTGGAGAGGCTTAAAAACACCCTGACACATGTAGCAGAAAAATAGCACTGTCCCCACTTGGTTCTTTTGTTGTCCCAAGTAATCAACGGACACCTCGGCTATTAACAGAGGGGCTAATTGTTGCTGTATGGGCCTAAGGCCCGTGGCCCCACTTATATGTCAAATAGGTCTGTGTCCAACAGGGGCAGAAGTGGATGCTAGAGAGGGAAAGCGAGGAAACAGGTATGTCTAGAGCAACGGTTCCCAAACTGTGGGTCGCAACCCCAAATGGGGTCACAACATCAGTAGATGGGGTTGCAATAAACAGGGCTGCGGGTTGGGATTGACATGCTGAGGAAATGGGGTCATAAATGGGGTCATGCTGAGGAAAAGCTTGGGAAGCACTGATCTCCAGTGGTCTGTCCCCTATTTCATACCCTCCCTCGAGTGGGTTAGAGGAAACCTCTAACCGTTTTGCTCAATAACCGTTAATAGATGCATTTATCCAATCTCTTGTTGCCCCGGCTTTGCTCTCTGTCTCTATCACGGCAGTGAATTCCACGAGTGAACTACACATTGGGCATGTCTACACATGCATTTAAGCACACCTACATTTCATGCGCATTAGCTTAATGCACATTTAGTGGGTTTAGGCAGGCATCTATACATGCGGGCATTAAAGAGCATTAATGCTGTTAGTCCCAAGTCAGCCCACACACAAAGCGTTAATGAGCTTTAATGTATCTACACATGCATCGATGTGCCTAAATTTGACAGCTGCATTCGCAGGTATCTAATTTTCATAGATTTCATAGACATCAGGGCTGGAAGGGACCTCGGAAGATCATCGAGTCCAGCCCCCTGCCCAAAGGGCAGGAAGTCAGCTGGGGTCATAGGATCCCAGCAAGATAAGCATCCAGTTTGCTCTTGAAGGTGTTCAATGAAGGCGCTTGAACCACCTCCGGTGGCAGGCTGTTCCAGACCTTGGGGGCTCGGACAGTAAAGAAATTCTTCCTTATGTCCAGCCTGAAACGATCTTGAAGTAGTTTGTGACCATTCGACCTCGTCATCCCTTGGGGCGCTCTGGTGAACAAACGTTCCCCCAGATGCTGGTGGTCACCCCTGATAAACTTGTAGGTGGCCATCAGATCACCCCTAAGCCTGCGCTTTTTCAGGCTAAAGAGCCCCAGGGCTCTCAGCCTGTCATCGTAGGGTCTGCTTCCCTGACCTCTGATCATGCGCGTGGCTCTTCTCTGGACTCTCTCAAGCTTCTCCACATCCTTTTTGAATTGTGGAGCCCAAAACTGGACACAGTACTCCAGCTGCGGCCTCACTAAGGCCGAGTACAGGGGGAGAATGACGTCCCAGGATTTGCTTGAGAAGCATCTATGGATGCAAGCCAGCATTTTGGTCGCTTTACTAGCTGCAGCATCGCATTGCAGGCTCATGTTCATCTTGTGGTCAATGATGACCCCCAAGTCTCTTTCTTCCATAGTGCTTGCCAACAT